TCCTGGATAATTTGGGAACTCGTATAATTGGGATCATAGAATACCCACATTTCAGAATTTGGAATTTTGGCCACACATCTCATGAATTAAAGTATACAGAGCATACTGATACGCTTTTCAGATTTGCGATTCTTCTGAGATGAGACACACTATTATGGCCCATCGTTAAGAGATGATATAGTGCTGCAGGATGAGCAGGGCTTCAGAGGTGCATATTTGGATTCCTTTACTATATAGCTCCATTGCAGTGGGCCTGTGGATAGGGGTGAAGGAACATTCATGGGTAGTCTAGCAAGGTCAATGCCCAAACCAAACTTACCAAGTCACCTTGATCAAATCCAGAAAGCTCAGAAGTAGTTATGAACATTTTTTCAGCAAAGATATTAGATATTGGCTAGGTTCTGTCCCAGAAGAAGCAGATGGTAGCACTGCTCATCCAGAAAAAAACACGCAAATATCTCCTATTGAAGAAAAGTAGCTATGTGCAATGTAAAGTAAGCTGACCCACATTTGAAGAATAATTATATTATTTTGAGGAAAGTCCTCAAGATGTAAACATCTGAAAAATATAGAGCCTAGGGAGTCTATGGAAGAGCATGCCACAGTTCACATTTGAGATGCAGATATACTGAATCTGGTCAACATAAGTTAGTTTTCCTTTTTTTCCTAAAAAGGGATGCTTTTGGGGATGTGAGAAGAAGGTGATGATGGAGGTTACTGCATTTCCAAAGTGTGAGGCTGTTTGCACCTTTCTTTGAGGCCCCAATGAGGCCACTTCCACTTGATCTTAACAGACATTTCCCTTACAGTTGCCATTGGATTCTTAGAAAATTTTGTCAAGAAGTACACAATCAGTGCTTGCTTCTTGAAGGTTTTTAATGACATTTCTTTAATTTTCTAATCTTGAAATACAAACTCTTGCATCAGAAACAAATAATAATGCATCTTAAAGCCACATCTCTTGTATGTTGTTTTCTGAAAATGTTGTATGAATGACATTTCAAGATTATACATCATTGTCATGGATCAAAGGGCAGCATTATTAGAGGGAAGAAAGTCAAACCAGATGTAATGGGAATCCTCATCTGCTTCCAGTAAAACTGAAACAGAATCTAGTTTTGATGTTAATTTGAATAGCAGCCATGTTTCAGATTTTTAACATAATCGTAAAATCCTAAATTTGAGGTCTGGATAATTTGATATCTGAATTCTGCTCCTCCACTCACTATTGCACACCCAGTGAAGAGGACTTAAATGTTCTTTTTTAACACATATGCATATATAATTGTACTTTTTTGCAAAAAGTCTACAGGTTTTATTTCTATGAGGGCTATTTAATTTTGGATAAACACATGTTATGTCTGATAAACAAATTTTGTTTCTAAAGTCTACTGCTTTCTACAAAGTAATAACACACAATAGAGACTCTTTCTTTCCAGTTTGTAATATTTACTAACAAATTTTAATGTATGATTAGATCTCATCCAGTCCTTTTAAAAATCTAGACTAACAAACCTTTTTATTTTTTTTTTTCCTAAATCTTTTACCAGGGACAGAAATTCTAGGTTATATTAGAGTCATTTATCTCTCAGGTTGCCTTCAAAGTAGTCCACATGTAATCAGTTCTGTTTCCTTTTAGAGTTCCTCTTGCTTCCCTACTCCACCACAGGTTTCTTAATGTTTACACTGTCAGGGCATTTTTTCCACCCTTTTCCAGTTGAGTAAGGCTTGCTTGGGCAGGACTCCACAGTAACCTAACTGGTATTCCGCTACAGTACAGGTGCAGACACTTCTCTGTGGCTCATGAGCTGGTACCGAAAGCTCTGATGCTGTGTGTGCAGGGCATCCCCTTTTTTGACTTGAAATTCAATGACCGTGAGGTAGCATTTGTCAGAGGCCACCAGTATCGCTAACCCTGGTAACACATCTGATTATCTTTAGCTGAGAGACTACAGGCATTCAGGGGCGCCTTCTACAGAAAAAAACAGTGATGTTATTATTAACACCAGACCTACAGAATACAGAGCCAAGGCTAGAGATCATGCTGCAGTAGATTATAATTTAAAAAACCACATAAAAACAACAACAAAACCCCCCAAACCCTCAAACCAAACAATAGTCTTTGCTCTCCTTTTGTTTGTTTCAAAATGTGAGTAGGCTGTTTTTGTACTTTCAGTTATCACATAATGCAAAACTCTTTCCTGTGCATTCTCTTTTTAATCTTTAACTTCTATATCTTTCTCCCTTTTTCTCTAGTTCATATTTTCTATTGTATTTGCTCGAATGAAGAACAAGGCAGGCAGCCTCTTGCCTTCCCACGCTCTAGCCTCACATCCTCACTTCCCCAGTCTGATCTGCCTTAGTCTGCTTTGCATTTCTAGATAGATGGAAGCTGGGTCCTGCTCAGCTGAACAACTCCAGATGCTTTGTGGAAACCGGGAGCCGCTGCCCATACCCTTGGCAAGCCACACTAGCAGGCAGCTGTTCCTTGGCACCTCCACCCTATGGGAGGTGGTGTCTCCTAGTGCTTGCAGCAAATTCACTGGCACTTAGAAGCTGCTGCTTCCAGAGGTGCAAGCAAGATACTGAGGGTTCCCAAGCTGGACTGGAATATCTGCTCAAGTTTGCAGCACCCAGTCTTGAGCTTAACATGCAAGGGACATTCATACATAGAGGTTGCTTTCTAAGCTAACTCACTTGAAAAGCCTAGCTGTACACAGGAGTAGGGACACTTCAACAAAAACAAGTGACAGAGATCACATGGTGAAGTGAAAGCTTGATAAAATATTTCAGGCTGCCTGCACAGTAAAGGGATGCATGTATGCTGTTCCTGCTAGAAAATAAGCTAACATCACATAAATCCAACATTACCTTTTGCTTGCCTTAAATCAATGGGCTTGTGGTGCTATTCCTTATAGTCAACAAACATGCCAGGAAAAATCTGTTTCCAAGCTGACTGCCCTTTCTCAGAACTGCCCGTAAGCGCCAGGGAGGATGGAAAGTGGGCTGCTGGGCCGCAGAGGTGCTTAAGGGAGGAGTTTGCCAGCAAAAGAGAATTGCAGAATTTAAAGCACGGAGAGACCTTCATTTTTCCCGGAGTTCTTACTAAAAATGTCTAATTCACTTAATCAGAAAAGCAATATCCTAAACCAAATGATCTAATTCTCATCTCACCTCCTCTCCTAGTCATTTTTAATATAATTATAGAGACTGTGAGTGTAATGTATTCTTATCCTGGTGCTTTTTGCTTTAATGCTGGATTGAAATATTGCTCTAAGGAAAGAATAAAATATGTCATTTGTGAACAAAGGCAATGCATGACCGAGATGGGCACACAAAGGTGGTACATTCTTGTAGTTTCAAGAAACTCTGCAGAAATTTTCTTTAATCTAGGAAAATGCTTTTACATAGTTAGTGAAACAGTCTTACTAGCAAGTTACTCTCAAATAAATCAAGGAACTCAAATAACAACCAGAAGGTTTTTAAATACACATACATGGCCTATACTCTGCCACAAGCTCTACAGAGAAACCTTGTGATTTTTACCTTGCTGCCGCATGTAGTGCTTTATGGGAAAACCTTGGTAAGGAAGACATACTCGAGCAATAGGCTTTCCCACCAATGCCTGTCTGTCCCAAACCTCTCTTCCTTACTGCAGCCTCTTCTCCTGGCTAGGAAAGCTGCTCAGAAATAGTTGCAAGTTTGCTTACTACCAGAAATCCTAATAAGAAGACACACCATCATTGCGCACTGAACTTTGGAGATCAGCTCCTGGATCTGGTTTAGCCTATCCATGCATCAGCAACCATACTGACAGGCTCGTCCAAATTGTAGCAGCCTCATTATTTCTGTACTTGCCCTGTATGCTGCTGTGACTTCTGAGGGAAGGTCACACATGGTTATATGATCGTCTCAGCGAGCACATTAGGGCCTTGATGATTTAGATGATGAGTCACTCTCATGACATGATTTATAGGGACAGGATCTTGCTGCTGAGTGGAGAGATCCCAGAAAACCAGAGGCAGATCCTTTAAATCAGAGGAAGTATTAAAACATTGTAGAATTCCACCATGATGGGATAGGAGACAAGGGAGAAAATTGTGTGTTGATAGGAAGAATCTTGCAAACAAATATTTTGCATCACTTACTTTGAGCAAAAAAAAGCGTATGCAAAATACTCAAAGCACATCTGTTGGGTTTTTTTGAAACCTTCATTGATTTCTGTAAATTGCATTGCAAAATAGTCTCCACTGTGGAGCTAATATCCCTTCTTGAGCAGAAGTTTGTTAGTCAAGGAGCAATGTCAAAATCCTGCGAACATATTGTGCATCTGAGATGAATCAAAAATTTGAAAAGATTAAGTGCGAATATACAGAAAACTTATGTACTTGACAAGTGGAAAACCAAATTCCAGTTGCTTGATTTCACTGATCATTTGAAAAATGGCAAATAGATAGATATGAAGGAAGGCTAGACCCTAGATATCAAAGATAAGGGGAGCATAAATCCAATAAGATGGGATCAAAAAAACATTGGGGAAACCACTTGATATTCAGAGAATACGAAATCCATAATTTGTGGTGAAATCTGTCAATGATTTTAGCTTCCTTTTCCTATAGAATTGCACAAAAGAGAAATGTCTTTCTTAATCTCAGTCCTTAAAGCAAAGATATTGCTGAACTGATCTGAAGCAGTACATGCTGGCACTGATTTACCTGGACCATTACCAGAATTACAATCTCCACATTTTTAGATCTTGGAATAAAATCCTACTTCATATCTCTGCCAGTGTATGTCTGGCATATTTTTTTCCTGTGCCTAGCTGTGTCTGGCTGTCGCTATCAGTTTCATTTATCAAGCACTTAGTGTTCTACAAAAAAAAAAAAAAAGTTATAAAAAAGCTATTGTTCCAATTAATAATATGTTAGATTGGTTATAGCAAAAATGCAGTGTTTATTGAACTGAAGGAACTGCATGACTGTAAATAATCAAACACTTACTTCTTTCACGAACCACTGGCAAAAGGCAGGGCCAATCCACTCTCTTGCATGAATCCCACAGTCTATCCAGACAGCTTTCTTGTAAGGCCGTGATCTTTTACCTAACTTGAAGTGTGAATATTCATAGAAATATCAATAGATATCATGACATTAGTGAAACAAAATAATGAGAAGGTAATAGAAACACTAAGCCATTTTGAATTTCCTTGTGTAAAGGAACACAAATTTATTGTTTTCAAAGGGAAATTATATGCAAGTATGACAAGATAACAAGGCTGATCTATGGGGAAAAAAATTACAAGAAAGGTGAAATCTATCAGTTCCTCTTTTATGAGGAATAAAATCCTTAAATATCACATGGAGCAGTGTGAGGAAAAACAATGCCACAGGAACAGCCTGATGCAGAATCAAATTTTCAGAACTCTGCAACAGCAGATGAAAGTCAACTGAAAGTAGAATTTTTTTTGTGTCTTGCTGACACCCTCTAATTTGTGGTCCTGATAATGTGAGTTGAGAGCACAGTCCTGAAATTTTGTCAGTAGCTAAAGAGGAAGCATACACGGCCCGTGCTGAGAAGGGCTCCAGAGTGCTCTGGGGTCCCTCCCCAGCATAACTGTTTTCCAAGTTGTCTATTGACACAAAGCTTTCCAATTCCCTTAAATCCAAACCCTGCTAATTGAACTTGTCCTGTAATCTATCTCCATGCATATCCCATCCAAGCAAATAGGATATGGCTTTTAGTTTTCCAGCTTTTTATTTTTTTGTTCATTAAAGATGACATTCTGAGAGATATTAGATCTTAGCAACTTATTTAGGAAACGCTGATAACCTGCATCTCTGGTGTATGTGCTATAACATAATAACAAAGTGTCTATCCCTGATGCCAGATTTTAGCTTGATTAATGACTGTTTAATCTTTACCTTGAGTACAAACAGTGGTCTCCCTTCATAGGATTTTCCAACAGAAAACATTTGAACAAGATCTGAATGAGTTTTATTCAGATGATGCATCCAACCCTGGATCTGCAAATACAGAAATAAGATTGTTGCTTCAATCTTTGCATTTCATGGGAAGCAACTGTAACACATTTATTAATCTCAGCTCTCAGTCCTCTGTATGTTTTTGGGTTTTCTTGTAGCTTTTATTTGTGTCTTTTGGAGGTTTTTTTGTTTGTTTTTGCTTTCACAGTGAAACTGTCATTGGGCTTTCATAGTTCTATTGCCAGAGCCTGGATGCAGCCTTTAGTCACCTGGGATTTTTTTCCCATTTTATTATTGGATATTACTGGAATACATTAGCTGTCCATCGAAAATATGGGGATGGGGCTAATCCACCATTCCCACTAAATATAAATGGAATAAAGAAAGAAGGTCCCTGAGTCTGCCTGCCAGGAAACAGAATGGTGAACAGATTGACCTGCAGGACTCAACGCTGTCTGCAATATTCGCTTCACAGGCACCAGATCTCATTGAGGTCCAGCACCCTCCACACTCAGCCTAGTGACCTTGTTTTGGTGCAGACTGAAACTGTGTATGTGAACGCACTGAAATCAACAGAAGCTATTTACCCAGCTATCATCCAGAATAGTATCCCTTATGAATTTGTATCTAAGTTGTTTTAAGTCTTTGGGCCTCTTGTGCAAATAGAATAATAGAATCATTAAGGTCGGAAAAGACACTTAAGCATTTGCTTATATTTCTTACTTAAATGACTCAGACTAATCACTCACTGAAATCTCTTATTCCATCAGAGGAAAAGACCTGCTTTAAAAACAAAACTCAGAAGCTGTCCAAGATAGTTACATGTAAAGATAAGCCTTGAATACAAATATTAAAAAAAGATGTATTTTCAAGAAGGTGCCTATTTTTGACGAAGAAACATTTAGAACACTTCTGAAGATGAACAGGTAGCCATAACTTGTAAAGAGAGTAAAATCTTAGCCTTATTAAAACCAACAGTGTAGCAGATAAGAGGAACAATATGAATTTTCACGTACTTCTTCCAGGGAGTGATACACTTCATAGTTATACCCGGAGAGAGACCTTCGATTCCTGGATGACTTGAGTCCAGTTTGGTTTTCTATTGCTTTCTGTAAGTCTGATATGAGAATTCTAGGTAAAAAAACATAGTGATATTACTGAAAAAATAGTAGAACACACCAGTTAAAGCAAAACAGCAATCACATTTAGAAGAAATATATCAGGATATAATGATACAAATGTAAAAATATACTATAGAAAACATTTAAAATAGTTATATTGAAGAAGCCGGAGTATCTATCCTTTCCATCATACAGTGGTAGGAGCTGGGAATATCATCACTGATATCAGTAACAACTGTAAAACCGAGTCATCCTTGTATACCACCTTCTCCTAAAGCATGGCAATGTGTAGTTACCATACCACTAATTCATCATTCCTGTGAAACGACACATTCAAGCTTTTGAAGTTTTACAGGCATTAGCTGCAATGACTGGAAAAAGAGGGAAAGAAACAGCATTTACTCTGATCCTAACTCAACTGTGCAGCAGATACCTCAAAGATAATAGGTCTATCTACTTATAATATCAAAGTAAAGGTTATCCTCATCTTCCAATGTATTAGTGAAGTAATTGTATAATTAGGAATTACATTGTTCTACATCAGCAACTTTCATTGAGCAAACTAAGGGCATATAGTCTTGACTTGCAAAGTGCTATACACTCCAAGACCAGTACCGTAAAGCATTGAAGCTTATAGTTAGATTAAAGGAGTGATTTTATTCAAGTCATTAGGACATCTAATATGTTAAAAAAATACTTGTCTGCTTTGATGAGTTCTGATTAGTGTAAGTACCTACCAGGATCAAACTCTGTTTACTTTTACAATAATACATTTAATTTCACAACTCCTGATTGTTTATGTGTCAGAACTCCAAATGAGATTTGATAGTCTTTCTTTGCTCTTAAATTGCTGCATACTGTGTGTGCTTATAACACAAAGGCCCTTAAGTCCCTCATGTCTGAATAGAGCCTAAGTGGCTTCATTGCCAGAGAACTTACAACTGATGCAACTTGATGCAGTAAGAGTTTGATGCCTGGCTTGTTTTCATGACCATCTTCTTGTCATAACATCAAACAGTGGGACAGATAAGCCCGTCTCACAGGCAAGGGCTGGTCACCTTGTTCATTATTAGGGCTGCTTAATGCTTCTTGTCTTTAGAAATTTTTCAGAATTTAGGCAAGTGTCACTCCATCAGGCTGAAGTTCTACACGGTGTTTGACTGAGTTTTTCCAGTTCCAAAAGGGATGTAGAAATTTAACTCATTTGCAAACAGTGTAAAAAAAAAAAAAAAAAAAAAGTAAACACTGTGAAAATCAGCAATGAGAAAAGGAGCTGTATGAAACCTTTCCTGGTGCCTCAGCCCTTTGGCTGCAAAGCTGCACTTCAGCTCAGGGCTGCGGTGCCCACCCCAGTGGCGCTGCGGGCATGGCTGTGCTCCTGCTGCTCCCCAGCTAGGGCTGTTGCTGCTCTCGTGGCGAATCCTCCTGGCTCTTGTGGTGTTACAGATCTCAGGAGGCTTGTCAGCTTAAGTACGCGCTCGTCTGAGACTTTGCAGGGTTTTGCTTCTGATGGATGGGACCCAGCGGGCAAAGAGTCCAAAACAGGCAGCGGGGAGACGAAAAGGAGAGTAAAGAAACAGCCTGGGGCTGACAGCACGCTGCCCGGCTTCCTTCTCAGCTCACACAACTTGTGTGCCAAAGGAATTTTTACCTGTGGAAAATTAATGCAGTTTTGTCCTTCTGTTTGTAGCACGTTGTTTCAGGTAAACTGCAGAGACCCTTCACTCTCGCAGTTGTTGCCCTGGCATGCTGCTTTGCAACCTACGTAAAGGCCCTCAAGTACAGGGAGTGTTTATAACACATATAAAATTGCCTTCTGTCATTTCATTAAAGGTGATTACTGTGAGCAGGAACAGCAGCAGACGTGAATACAACTGTCGGGGCATAGTAATTAGGGGACATTTTTTGTATAAGCACAGGAAAACAATTACAGAAATCCCCATCTCATTTTTGAACACAAACAAAACTGAAACAAGGTAGAGCCTGCATGAAAGTAGCTCTGAAATTTGGCTACCGGGCCTCATGAATAATTAATTTTAGAATTAATTACTTTTAGAATGACAATGAGACCATTGTTATATTAAAAACGGAATTCTGATAACAGCATATATAATACGCGATATGCTTTGTGCCATCCTTTTCTCACTGAGAAATAGATATAAATAGCCTCACGTAGGGCTTTACTCAGCAAATGTTTGAGAATGCAAATAGCTCATCAGTTGATTATTCAGATGCTTCAGCATTTCACTGAAAGGGCTTTAATGAAAAGATAATTACTCTTGTCTAGTATATCATATTGATAAATATGAAATTATAAGTATACTCCAAAACTGTCTTGATTGCTTTTAAGAAATGCTATAAATGATGTCTGACCCTTAGTGCGTGTTTGTTCTGTATGACTTGCGTTGGGTCACAAGGAATGAAGAGTTATAAAATAGAACTAGTACATTCCTTTATAATTCATGAAGAAGGCTTGCCTCACGTTTGCAGCACATTTGTAAACAAATCTAGCTCCTGTTAAATACAGAGAGAGGCAAAGCAGGCTGTAGAATTAGTAATTACCATCCCTCTCTTAACAGATGTGATTTCATATACATGGAAAACACTTCAGCTTGACTCCAAAGGAGGACATTTAATTAAAACTGCCTGCCTGTGGGAGATTTTCTGTTCTCCCATTAAAATAGTTGTTTTCCTGGCAATGTCTAGCTGTCTGCCAGTCTAATTGCTATGATGTGGAGTGTATTTTGAAGTGTACTTGCTGTGGTAGACACAGACCTGCCTTGGAGGCCAGATCTCTGGAGCAAGGCACAGAAAGCGAAGCACAGGCTTACGTGTACTGGATGTTTGCTTGCTGGAGGTAGGGCAGCAGACTTCGGGACGTGTTCTGGGGTACTCGCACGTCAGTGACCATGCCTTCGATGATGTGGAAGGGGCTGCTGGGCTGCCACAGGTCCACCTATAGTGCAGGAACCAACCTGTAATTCATATGCATTCAGTGTAGGTGGGGAAATCCAGGAGATGGCATGCTTTAAGCTATGTAGGCGAACACTCGAGGCATGGTACAGACAATAAAATTGTATTGGCTGTTACAGCTCGACATCTGTGGTACTGGAGCAGATTTTGAGGAATGATTGCGTCCCACTTACCACAGCTCTCATGGGAGATTTGTCAGTGAGAAGAGAGAATGGTCTCAGGAACATGCCTCCTCAAATGGCTTGAAACAAAAGCTACCTCCAACTTCATGTGCCGCCTCATACTACTATATATTACCTGTATGTTAGCTCATATGTAGTTCATGAGCCTTCTTTATTTCATAAGGTATCTTCTATGTTCACAAGGGCAGTAAAAGAAAAGAATGCTAAAGAGAGGTAGAAAGCGTAGTGTTGTTTGCGAAGTGTACCCAAGCTTTATTCTTGATAATAAACAGATCAGAATTCGGTAACAGAAGGTCACCAAAACTCTGAAGGAAGCTGTGGTCTACCCAATATTTGTATGAAGTGACAAAATAAAAGGATTAAGATAATAAAATTGTTACAATCTTGTAAAAAAAAAGGTACTAAATGATAGCACAATTGTTAATGTGTTATCTATCCCTGAGCATACCTATTTTGTCCATTTTTACTTTCTGTGGTTGCCAAATCTGAAATACACTTGGAAATTTTAGCCCAGAACATGACATTTAAGAAAGCAAGAAAGTTTGCAAACAGAGATTTGGAACTCAGTGTTCTGCACCCTGTACCAAAATGGTGTTGTACTGCTCAGCCGTACCAACAACAGATGCACATACTCTTCAGCAGAGGTGAGAACAGTTCCTCCTCAGCCAGTGCGAGGACAGCAGCAAGAACACGAGTTAACAGACCTCTTCCCAGAGCTGCTGGATAGTCACAGGAGACTATGGAAGGAGTCTCAGCAACAACCTCTTTGTCAATATGTTGGTGAGCTGAATAAAAAGAGGGGAATTGATAGGGACTACCACATCCCCACATTTCTTAAAGAGAATTTAAAAAGAATACATACTTGATAATCATCTTTTGAAGCTTTATTTGAATCAGTTGTGCTAGGCTGCATTGGTGAAAGTCATGGATACAGCTCATGAGTGTCCCTCGCCTTACTTGCTTTCCAGGTTTCTAAGGTTTTTGCAATCTATATTTTAAAAGCTCCTGACTTCTTCTATGCTGTACAAGCTATTTTGGAAATATCTAATATATTTCATCTGGTCCTGCTACCAACCTTGTTTGAGAAGAGAGTACAATCTTGCAACAGGTGTTTAATTCCCACCATTTCTCACATGGCCATGAGTAAGAATATTCTGATCACCAAGAAGGCATCTGATGCTGAACCTGATGCTACCTCTTCAAGCAGTAGTGACTTTAGTCTAGTTAATCTAATTAAATGTCTGCTAATTTGGAAGAAGAAAAACTGAAACACTGGGGCAGCCTCTTCTATTCCTGCCAAAACCACTCTTTGTTTCATGCTGCCACAATATGGTCTGTGGATGTGTGTGATAGCAGTGGGTGGGTGCAGCATCTTTTGAAGTCTAACACCAGGACTGGCAAAGTTCATGATGGTTGTGAAGCTGACAGCAGCTATGACAGATGGTCAGTAGAAACCAAATTCATGAATTAAATGGTGCTAAATGCTGCTTATAAATAAAGCTGCACTAACACCTTATGTTTGTTAGTTTATCTATACGTTGTATTCTGATTAATTATAGGCATCCAGTGAAATTCCCCCTAATTCAACACAGCTGATTTCACACGTGGTTAATTAGAAATGTGCATTTGACTTCTAAGATTTATCCCTAAAAATACACATCACAGAGGGTAAATTTGTTGCTCTTAGAGTAACAGTGTACCAATCAGCTCAGCTTGAGCCATCTTTATAAAAATAACAACAAATTATTATATACAAGCTAGGAGCAACTGAAGTGAAGTGTCTCCTGGCCAACTGCAATATCTAAGCATAAAAAAAATTGAAACAAAAGTTACAAAAATAAAAAAAAATCACAACTGAGATACACCTGAAAACTGTTTCTAATAGTTACTAATTTAATTTTGATTAATTTCTCCATCATTGTGGAGGGGATAAACCAACCAATATTCACACTATTGTCTACAACATCATAGATCTTTTTCATTTCTGAGGTATTCTGATTGTCCCTCACATTACTGACTGCAAGGGAATATCAAAAGCAGATGCAATCTTCTTTTAACTAATAAAATCAGTGGTATATTGCACACTGCTAACCTCTTTTGGCTAAAATGCAATATTTCAGTACTGGCATTGTCTTGGAAATGAGACAAAAAATTCTATTTTTAGAATGTAAATCACTCCTCTTCAACTTGGTTCCCTATTTGGGTAGTTTGGTTTCATTTGACTCCCATTTCTTATCCTTTGCAAAGTAAACAAAGCATTCAGTGCTCATCTGGGAGATGTTACCTGTGCTGTCCAGAGCACCACTTCGATTGCTGACTTGATTTTGCTTTATAAAGCATATAACAAGAAACACATTTCTCCAGCAGACATCTTATTTATATTGCAGCTTTCAGCTTGTCCTTGGTGTGACACAGGAGCAGTGCATGAAAACTGACAAAGGGAAGATGGATTTCAGAGCAGGCACGTTGGACTGAGCAAGTCCAGCTATCCCTTACTCACTGTCAACTTTAAGAGACTTCATCTTTGCATCTCCTGTGGATACTGAGGGCTCGATCGAAGTCATCACTCTTCTTTCAGCATCATTCTTCTGGCAAACATGCCTTGGTTTTCCACGCTGGCCACCGCTGGCTAGTGAATGGTAGTGATATTAATTGTTCTCCCATTCTCTTTACTATCTGTCTGCAATGGGGTGTTGTTATCCCCACACATTAAACATTAGCTATTATAGAGCATTATGGACGGTGTACCAGTCAGTGCCAACAGACATTTATTTGCTGTGTAGGTGGTGGGATTTGCTACGCAGGGGCGGAGATTCTCCAGTTACTAAAACGAACAGATGCAGAAATCCTACAGAACACCCTGAACAGACACCCAAATATTTGTACCTCAAAATACAGCTGGTACCTTGAGGCTAGAGGAAAAGAGATATGCTTTAGAGTATGTTTGCAAACCTAAGTATTCTTGTCTCCTTTGCAGAACTGTCTCCTTTGCAAGTCCTTTCCTATCTGTCCAGGCAGCAGGTTACCTTTAGTTAAGCCTCTGGACAATAAGCAGAGCCCAGGCAGGATTTTTCAGCAGGCTCAGACTTGGGACCTGGACACCAATGACTCTGCACCCACCGCTGTGCTCAGGTGCGACTCCGGATCCCTGTTCTGAGGGACAGCGGTGGCTCTGCAGTTGCCCAGCGAATGCTCTTTCCCAGTATCTCACCGGAGGCATGAGCATCCAGACTCGCTTTGTATGAGAAGGAGTGGTATGTAAAAGCATACTGACAGCTCCCTTTTCCCGGAGGATTTAAACACATTATTGCCTTATTTAACAAGGAAAGTATAAGAGATTATTAATTGTGACTCCATAGTAAGTATTCTTGTTTAACCGCATGTTCTTTTTTTCAACCTCACTCATCCCATAAAAGTCCCTGGGATTCAACTTGTGCTTAGGAAAGCCAAAACTGTTTGGGTTTCCTTGTGTAGGCAGTTTCTCTTTAAACCATGTTGTCAAAGTCAGCTGAGGAGTATAAATGTATCAGCTCTTACCTGGACATCTTCCAAGCTACAGCAACCCTGAACTCATTAGTCATGTCTCTAGGTTTTGGTCAGTGTGGTGATGAGAAGTCAGCAGAAGACAAAGGGACAAATATTTTAAAAAAGATTTGGGTGCTGAGCTAAGAGAATTCATAATTTCTTCCAAAATTAAAAATTATGAAAATAGTTTTCCAATAAGACACACATTTCCTTGGTATAATCCTACATATCACAAATGATGTACACAAAGCTCTGTTGCCCTGCCAAGACAGAAACCAGAGCAGAGAGTTTTTTTCTTCACTAATGCCAGGTTTTCCTCTAGCTCATTCTGTGCCTGTGGAAAGGGACCCTGAGAGGAAAGGAGTCTCCTTGCTTTTCCCCAGGAACACACTCATGGCTGCAGAAATCCCAGACTCCTTTTTTTCCTTTAAGTCACTGAAAGAAATTCCCAGCTTCTTTAGACCACAGGGCTTAGTCCAGCTCATGCCTTGTAATTAAAGGTGTTGTCTCAGGCAGTAGCCTCCAGTTGTTCCTCACTACCCTTTTGTACATGGGTGTTTAATTTCTTCTTCCATTTAGCCTGAAAGGAGGATGCTTAGTGCTCTCATCAGGTCTGTGATCGTGTATCAATCAAAAGAAGTGATTGACGCGTCACTGGAAATAACTACAATAACTCTGCCATAATTTACAGTTCGTATCTGGACAAAATTGTTTATATGAGTTATCTGTGTTATACCCCTTGAAGACAGTATTTTTGTTATGCTTTATTCTCTAGCAATTCCCAGTTTTATACTTACTGAGTTGTATACAGCAATACATGTGCCAAAGCTGGCCTTGTCCTTAACATCATGGTGGAGAAATTTCTTTGAGAAATGTTGTCGACTGTAAAGTTCAGAATACAATTATTGCTATGATGCCACCAGTAGAAATGAGTTCGCATTCCTGAGCCTCTTGTAAAGGAAATGTGCAGTCAGTAATGCAAGCAGTGAGGCTCTTTGCTCATGGGCTCTTTCAGGATTTACATCCATATGCTCATGTATAGACACAAAAACACTGTAAGCAGTGCTGAAACTCATTAGATATGTTTTCAATTAGAAATATGACAGAAGATGGAGAATACAAGAAGCAGAAACAGTCCTAGTCTCACTAATGTTGTCAGAGGTCTGACTAACAGAGGCTTCATAATTTAACACACAAGAAACATACATACATGTATATACACAAACACCCCTCACAGGCACATATATAGTGTGCAACTGGATGTCATCTA